GGTACATGTCTTTTTTTTTTTTTTTGGCTGTGTTGGGTCTTTGTTGCTGTGCATGGGTTTTCTCTAGTTGCAGTGAGCAGGGGATACTCTTCATTGCAGTGCATGGGCTCTCTTCGCGGTGGCTTCTCTTGTTGCAGAGCACGGGCTCTAGGCGCCTGGGCTTCAGGAGTTGTGGCTCGTGGGCTCTGGAGCGCAGGCTCAGTAGTTGTGGCGCACGGGCTTAGTTGCTCCGCAGCGTGTGGGGTCTTCCTGGATCAGGGCTTGAACCGGTGTCCCCTTCACTGGCAGGCAGATTCTTAACCACTGCACCACCAGGGAAGCCTCATGTCTCTTTTTGAATTATGGTTTTCTCAGGGTATATGCCCAGTAGTGGGATTGCTGGGTCATATGGTAGTTCTATTTTTAGTTTTTAGTTTAGTTTTTTAAGGAACCTCCATACTGTTTTCCATAGTGGTTGTATCAATTTACATTCCCACCAACAGTGCATGAGGGTTCCTTTTGCACCACACCCTTTCCAGCATTTACTGTTTCTAGATTTTTTGATAATGGCCATTCTGACAATGAGGTGACCTCATTGTAGTTCTGATTTGCATCTCTCTAATGATTAGTGATGTTGAGCATCTTTTCATGTGCCTTTTGGCCATCTGTATGCCTTTCTTGTGAAATGTCTATTTAGGTCTTCTGCCCATTTTTTAACTGGATTTTTTTTTTTGATATTGAACTCCTTGAGCTGTTTGTATATTCTGGAGATTAATCCTTTGTCCATTGTTTCATTTGCAAATATTTTCTCCCATTCTGAGGGTTGTCTTTTCATCTTGTTTATGGTTTCCTTTGCTGTGCAAAAGCTTTTAAGTTTAAGTAAGTCCCATTTGTTTATTTTTGTTTTTGTTTCTGTTACTCTAAGAGGTGGGTCAAAAATGATCTTGCTGTGGTTTATGTCAAAGAGTGTTTTCCTATGTTTTCCTCTAAGAGTTTATAGTGTCTGGTCTTACATTTAAGTCTTTAATCTATTTGGAGTTTATTTTTGTGTATGGTATTAGGTAGTGTTCTAATTTCATTCTTTTATATGTAGCTGTCCAGTTTTCCCAGCACCACTTATTGAAGAGGCTTGTCTTCTTTTTGATGATAGCCATTCTGACAGGTTTGAGGTGATATCTCATTGTGGTTTTAATTTGCACTTATCTGATGATTAACAATGTTGAGCATCTTTTCATGTGCCTGTTGGCCATCTGCACGTCCTCTCTGGAAAAATCTCTATTCCAGTCTTCTGCCCATTTAATTGCCTTTTTTTTTTTAATGTTGAGTTGTAGGAGCTGCTTATATATTTTGGATATTAACCCCTTATCAGTCATATCATTTACAAATATTTTTCCCCATTCAGTAGGTTGTCTCTTCATTTAGTCATTGGTTTCCATTGCTATGCAAAAGCTTATATGCTTAATTAGGTCCCAGTTATTTATTTTTGCTTTTGTTTCCTTTGATTTAGGAGACAGATCCAAAGAATTATTGCTATAATTTACATCAAAGAGTATTCTGCCTATGTTTTCCTCTAGGAGTTTTATAGTATCCAGTCTTACATTTAGGTCTTTAATCCATTTTGAGTTTTTGTACATGGTGTTAGAGAATATTCTTTTACATGTAGCTGTCCTACAGCCTTTGTTTTTAAAGTCTATTTTGTATAAGTATTGCTACCCCAAATTTTTGTTTCTATTTGCATGGAATATATTTTCATATCCCTTCACGTTCAGTCTGTGTGTCTTTAGATCAGAAGTGAATCTCTTGTAGGCAGCATATAGATGGGTCTTGTTTTTTTTTTTAATCCATCAGTCACCCTATGTCTTTTGACTGAAGAATTTACATTTAAAGTGATTACTGATAGGTTGTACTAAATACCATTTTGTTAATTATTTTCTGGTTGTTTTTACAGTTCTACGCTCCTTCTTCTCTTGCTCTCTTCCTTTGGAATTTGATGACTTTCTTTAGCATTATGTTTGAATTCCTTTTTCTAATTTTTCTCAATATTAGGTTTTTGGTTTGTGGTTAATTTGAGGTTCGTGTATAGCAGCCTATGTGTATAGCAGTCTATTTTTTTTTTTTTTTTTTTTGCGGTACGCGGGCCTCTCACTGTTGGGGCCTCTCCCGTTGTGGAGCACAGGCTCCGGACGCGCAGGCTCAGCGGCCACGGCCCACGGGCCCAGCCGCTCCGCGGCACGCGGGATCCTCCCAGACCGGGGCACGAACCCGTGTCCCCTGCATCAGCAGGCGGGCTCCCAACCACTGCGCCACCAGGGAAGCCCTAGCAGTCTATTTTAAGTTGATTACTTAAGTTCAAATCGTTCTAAAAACACTACATTTTTACTACCCCCACTCCACGTTTTATGTTTTTGATACATTTTACATCTTTTGATTTTGTATACCTACTAATTATTGTAGTTATAGTTGATTTTACAACTTTTGTCTTTAAACCTTATAACCTTTGTAAGTGATTGATCCACTGCCTTTACTATACGTTTGCTTTTACCAGGGAGATTTTTCCTTTTCCATGTTTTCTGATTTCTAGTAATGGCCTTTTCTTTTTTTCTTAAAGAAGTCCTTTTAACATTTCTTGTATGACTGGTTCAGTGGTGAACTCCTGTAGATTCTGCTTGTCAGGGAAACTTTATTGCTCCTTCAATTCTGAACAATAACCTTGCCAGATAGAGTATTCTTGGTTACAAGTTTTTCCCTGTCAGTACTTTGAATATATTGTGCCACTCGCTTATGGCCCGTGAAGTTTCTGCTGAAAAGTCAGCTGATAGCCTTATAGGGGTTCCCTTGTACATAACTAGTTGTTTTTCCATTCTTTTGCACCTAATATGCTCTTGATTCCATCTACTGTATTGTTCCTTTCAGTTATTGTATTCTTCAGCTCTGGTTGGTTCTTTTTCATATCTCTTTGTTGAAGTTCTCACTGTGTTCATTCTTCTTCCAAGTTTGGTGAGTATCTATCTTTATGGGTATTACTTTGAACACTTTATCAGGTTGATTACTTCTGTCCATTTCGTTGGTTCTTATCCTGAAGTTTTGTCTTGTTCTTTCATTTGGAGCATATTCCTGTCTCCTCACTTGTTTCTGTGTATTAGGTAGATGAGCTACAGCTTCTGGTTTTGAAGAAGTGGCCTTATGTAGAAGGTTTCCTGTGGGGCCCAGAAGAGCAATCCCTGCTAGTCACCAGAGCCAGGGATGTTTTCTATGTGGGCTGTGTGTGCCCCTCCTGTTGTACAGTGCCACAGATGCTGCAGTCACACTAGTGGAAGGGGCTGGCCCCCAAGCCAGCTGCCTGTGTGGCCTGGCCACAGCTGCTGCGCACTCACTGATGGGCAAGGCTGGCCCCAGTGTGGCTGGCTGTGGGGCCCAACCACAACAGTTGCAGGTACAATTGTGAGTGGGGCTGGCCCCCAGGGTGGGAGCTTCTTTGGGCTCCCACCCTGGGAGGAGGGGGACTATACCAGCCAGGGACTCCCACTGGAGATGGCAGGAGGGGTGGCAGCTGGGAGGAGCTGCTTTGGGCAGGGCAGGCCTGCAGGGGAATGCTGGGGGTGGGGTGAGTGGTGTTAGCAAGGCAGATGGCAAATGTTTTGAAATGGCGCCTGTCAGTGCTGGGCCATCCTAGGTAGAAGGAGAATTTTTTAAATGATGCCCGCCAGCACTTAGTTTCTTCCCCCCCTTTGGCACTCACCCTAAAGTTAATGAATGTACTTCACATATGGCCTGGGCACTTGGCAAAGTACTGCCTCTGTCCTGGGACTCAAAGTGAGTGAATTTGTGCCCTTTAAGAGCAGAGTCTTGGTTTCCTACAGCTCTCCTGGATACAAGCCCTGCTGGTTTTCAAAACCAGATGTTGTTATGGGGGCTCATCTTCCTGGTGCAGGTCCCTAGGGCTGGGGTGCCTGACGTGGGGCTCAAACCCCTCTCTCCTTAGGGAGAACCTCCGTGTTTGTGAGGTCCCCTCCCGTTTGTGGGTAGCCATGTTGGGGGTACGGGTCCTGATGAGACCACATCTCTGCCCTCCTACCTGTCTCAATGTGTTTTTTTCTTTATATCCTTAGTTGTAGGAGAGCTGTTCTGCTGGTCTTCAGGTCATTCGCAGAGAGCTGTTGCACACGTGGCTGTAGTTTTGGGGTGTCCGTGGGAGCATCTTCCTACTCCACCATCTTGATCCTGCCTCAGTGCTCCTCTTCATTTATACAGATCCTTCCATGCCCATCTCAGTTTCTACCTCCTCGGTCACACTTTCTCATTCTATGCCTCCTGTTAGCCTCCCTGAAGCACACAATGGCACCCTTAGTCTTCATCATACAGCTTAACACGTAGTTCTATGCTATTCTGCTATTGTTCCTGATGTGTTTTACTCCCTGAAGCATCAACGGAGTCTTCACTTTCTTTTGTATTTTTCCCAGGGCCTAGCATAGACCTTTCTCACTGTGGGTGTCATTATCATACAAGGGTGTACCCGTAACAAATAATCAGTATAGCTTCAAAGTCGTTCATTCCAGAAACTTGGCCTACCTTTGGTCACTCCATCCAGCAGTCTGCTACAGACAAGGCCTATGATCCCATCAGCAAACACATTTTTGATAAAATGTGAGCAACTAGGCATTGCTTTTTAAGTACGCATACTAGCTTTAAAATTGAGCTTCTTATGTATTCCCAACATATGAAAATTAGGTGACACACATTCAACACTATTGTTTACTTGGTTAAAGTCTAACAGAAAATTGAATACTTTGCTTTGCAAGTGTTCCACCATAACCCTCAACCACAATGGCCTGTTAAAAATGTTAACAACAGTATTGCAATTTTATAGAAATAAATATTAACATTTATACATGTAGTCATTGGGCTATGAGACCAAGAGTACTTGATTAAATAGAAGAAGCCTCAATAAGTGAACATGAACTTCACTGCTGTCTCATTATCAGTTAGGTTTATAATTCTGAATTTCATGTGTTCATCCACAGATAGTTCATGATGCTGAAACAGACAGAGTAATAATTAATCTATCCAACTGTCCACCTCTGTATGATGAGGTGAAAGTGAAATTTCTCTCTTCTTCGGTGAGTAATCAAGAAACAATTTATGCTGCTAATCTTGTCTAGTTTTCTGAATGATTCTGGTTTGGGATTTCCTTTGCTACAATTCCCAACAAGGGAGATGATAGGAGATGTCAACCCCTAGTCAGGGATGGGGAGAAAAAACAAGTCAGATTTCTATATCGAATTTTTTTTTAAAAAAGAAAATATGTAATTATATTTTTGCTCATTTGTTTTCTAAATTGTATACAACTTACATGTATTAATTTTCAAATAAGAAAAAAAATACAAAAACCCGGATGTTAAAAAAAAGTTATAAACTACATAGCAGTGATATTTTGGGTTTGTATCTTTAAAACACATTGTTCCCCATAACTTATAAAATACGTGAAAGTGAGGGAGATTTTGCTTTCCTCTCAATTGATGTATAATTCATTTAAAATAGCATATTTAATCCAATATTTATGAAAAATAATATCTGCCATTGTCATTACAGTATAATTTATGCTGACCAGTTATAAAATGTATGTCTGATTATTCTGTATATAGCAAATTTCTAAGCCCCAGTAGTTTCATTTTCCTATTAAATCATCAACCAGAACCGCCAACATGTAACTGTGTTTGCTCAATTTAAAGCTTATTTCCTGTGCCCGCCTGCATCCCCTGCTTGCTCCCTGTTGGCAGAGAATTTACTAAGTTTGAAATGGTACATGTGTTGAAGCAAGTGGCTGGGATAGCTCCCCTTGAATAACTGAGCCAGTCTGAATTCTCTTAATCAGTGGTCTCTAAGCAGAAGCACTGGTGTAGGGGCGCTAGCCAAGGGGATGTTGGTGATTTCTGGCCTTTGTGGTTGTCAAGGGTCATGAGATGAAAGCACTTTCAGAAATCTTAGGTATTTCTATCATCATCAATCGTGGTTAATTATCCAATGTAGCTGCTCCTTGTAGGAACGGATGATATTATTGGGGCAGAAACAGACATAGGTCCTTAGTAGATTCTGTTTAGCACTATCCAAACCAGATTAAAAGACCAGTGTCTAAATTTATAAATATCACAGAGAAAATACATTTCCTTGAAAATTTTGCTAGAAATGGCGAGAGAAAGGAACAGCAATCTCTCAAGGTCTCTGTCTTGGTGCCTTGAGTATAATGTTGATGGTAAGTGCTGCATATTCAATAGCTACAGTTATTTGATGAACGTACAGATGAATAACGGAATTTTAATCCCTTTGGAGAGATGATTTTTCACAGTAAAAATGGATACGAAGAACTAATTTTTCTTTTTTGACCATGTCTTTTTAGGATCTTCCTAAATACTATGACGACTGTCCATTTTTCTTTTGGTTCCATACATCTTTTATACAAAATAACAGGTATGGCTATGGTATAATCCAGTAGAAACAGCTTAGTCTCGAATGTCTATGTAAGACGTAATGACAAGTCTTTTGCTAATTGCCATAAGCCCAATTTATAGAAACCAAAAAATCCTTGAGTCACCGTTCTTCATTGCCTTCCTTATTGTGATCTGGTTATTTAAAAAATATGGCTATTTTTCTTTAACATCTTTATTGGAGTATCGTCGCTTTACAATGTTGTGTTAGTTTCTGCTGTATGACAAAGTGAATCAGCTATATGTATACATATATCCCCATATCTCCTCCCTCTGCGTCTACCTCCCATCATCCCTATCCCACCCCTCTAGGTAGACACAAAGCACTGAGCTGATCTCCCTGTGCGATGAGGCTGCTTCCCACTAGCTATCTGTTTTACATTTGGTAGTGTATATATGTCCGTGCCCCTCTCTCACTTCGTCCCAGCTTACCCTTCCCCCTCTGTGTCCTCAAGTCCATTCTCTATGTTGTGTCTTTATTCCTGCCCTGTCCCTAGGTTCATCAGAACCATTTTTTTTTTTTTAGATTCCATATATATGTGTTAGCATACAGTATTTGTTTTTCTGACTTACTTCACTCTGTATGACAGACTCTAGGTCCATCCACCTCACTACAAATAACTCAATTTCATTTCTTTTTATGGCTGAGTAATATTCCATTGTATATATGTGCCACATCATCTTTATCCATTCATCTGTTGATGGACACTTAAGTTGCTTCCATGTCCTGGCTATTGTAAATAGAGCTGCAGTGAACATTGTGGTACATGACTCTTTTTGAATTATGGTTTTCTTCAGGTATATGCCCAGTAGTGGGATTGGTGGGTCATATGGTAGTTCTATTTTTAGTTTTTTACGGAACCTCCATACTGTTCTCCATAGTGGCTGTATCAATTTACATTCCCACCAACAGGGCAAGAGTGTTCCCTTTTCTCCACACCCTCTCCAGCATTTATTACTTGTAGATTATTTGATGATGGCCATTCTGCCCGGTGTGAGGTGATATCTCATTGTAGTTTTGATTTGCATTTCTCTAATGATTAGTGATGCTGAGCACCCTTTCATGTGTTTGTTGGCAATCTGTATATCTTCTCTGGAGAAATGTCTGTTTAGGCTTTCTGCCCATTTTTGGATTGGGTTGGTTTTTTTTTTTTGATACTGAGCTTCATTTTTCATATTGAGCTTGTATATTTTGGAGATTAATCTTTTGTCAGTTGCTTCATCTGCAAATATTTTCTCCCATTCTGAGGGTTGTCTTTTGGTCTTGATTATGGTTTCCTTAGCTGTGTGAAAGCTTTTAAGTTTCAGGAGGTGGGTCAAAAAGGATCTTGCTGTGATTTATGTCATAGAGTGTTCTGCCTATGTTTTCCTCTAAGAGTTTTATAGTGTCTGGCCTTACATTTAGGTCTTTAATCCATTTTGAGTTTATTTTTGTGTATGGTGTTAGGGAGTGTTCTAATTTCATTCTTTTACATGTAGCTGTCCAGTTTTCCCAGCACCACTTATTGAAGAGGCTGTCTTTTCTCCATTTTATATTCTTGCCTCCTTTATCAAAGATAAGGTGACCATATGTGTGTGGGTTTATCTCTGGGCTTTCTATCCTGTTCCATTGATCTATATTTCTGTGTTTGTGCCAGTACCATACTGTCTTGATTACTGTAGCTTTGTAGTAGCCTGAAGTCAGGGAGCCTGATTCCTCCAGCTCTGTTTTTCTTTCTCAAGATTGCTTTGGCTATTCGGGGTCTTTTGTGTTTCCATACAAACTGTGAAATTTTTTGCTCTAGTTTTGTGAAAAATGCCATTGGTAGTTTGATAATTGCATTGAATCTGTAGATTGCTTTGGGTAGTAGAGTCATTTTCACAGTGTTGATTCTTCTAATCCAGTAACATGGTATATCTCTCCATCTGTATCCTCTTTAATTTCTTTCATCAGTGTCTTATATTTTTCTGCATACAGGTCTTTTGTCTCCTTAGGTAGGTTTATCCCTAGGTATTTTATTCTTTTTGTTGCAGTGGTGAATGGGAGTGTTTCCTCAATTTCTCTTTCAGATTTTTCATCATTAGTGTATAGGAATGCCAGAGATTTCTGTGCATTAATTTTGTATCCTGCTACTTTAGCTCTAGTAGTTTTCTGGTAGCATCTTTAGGATTCTCAATGTATAGTATCATGTCATGTGCAAATAGTGACAGTTTTACTTCTTTTCCGATTTGGATTCCTTTTCTTCTCTGATTGTAAAAATATGGCTATTCTTGAGACCCACTGTTGCATTATCCTCAAGGTCCATGCCATAGGACTGCGTTATAAAACATACTATAAGCAGATCTTGAGTGTGGCAACAAATCCCCCCCATGAAAGTTTAATATGAGTTTGTTCAGTACCTTGAATATGGCAGGTCCTCGGTATGTGTTGATTTACTGATGACTGACCAACACCAAATTCTATGCCACAGGAAGGTGTCATCCAGGGAGGCTTCAGCTAGTTTAAAAGGTGGTTGACACACTTACATCTAGGGCAGAAGTTATAAGACACAGTAAGTATCAGTGAAGACAGCTTTCAAAAAATTAATGGTCTCCCATTTAAAACTGATTTTCTTATAACTAAATCGGATAATCTATTTTTAAAAAGTAATTGATTTGAAGAGTATTCCAAAGAACCTCTATCATATCTGAAACTCATTCCTAAATCTAGAAGTTCTCCACATCGTCTATTCTGTGGTGCTGAAAATTTGAGATTGGTATCACCATACCATTCAATACAAAAGGAAAGATAATATTCACAAAATCATAAAGAGTTTTGAAGAAGTGGTTATCATTGTATGTGCCATGAACTGACAGTTCCCACGACATACAATCCTAGCCTTTTCTTCAAATGTAGACTGCATTTCATCCCACCTCGAGTCCACTAAGGTGACAGTAAATAAAAACCTAGCCTAAACACCTACAATGCACACACATTTAGTGGATATTGATAGAGTGAACTTTGGATTTGATGGAACATTTTTGCCAATTTTTTCCCCTGGATGTACAGACAGAAAACTTTGACTTATAACATGAGCAAAGTCCCTCAAATAGACATCTAGGTGGAACTTCATTTGGTACTACTTCTCAAAAGTGGTTCTTGCTAAAGGGCACAGTTTTTTCCTTTAAAACACCATGTTCATATTAGAGAAGCAACCTGCTAAATCACTTTTCTCCTCACTTTTATAGTTTCTGAAGATTTAACGTGTGAATTTCCATACTCCTTGGTAAAGCTGTTTTTATTATGAGACTTAATTTACCCAAAATGCCAACTTCATCATTTAAAAGACACTTGTTATTACTGGGTTTTAATACACATCTAGTCTGATTTATCACATATAGAAATTTATTAACTATTAATTCCATAAAAGGCAATATTAAAAGGATCAGTGACACGTTGTTACTGAAGGTCATGATATTTTTGTGTCTTAAGAGAGAGAGTGGGAGAGCTGGTCTTTGAAAGCTAATTAGATGCAGAGGAGGGGTCGAGACTGATGGTGGCCAGCAAGGCTTGTTTTTTTAAAGCTCTAACAAGGCTGTCCTACAGCATGGCTTTTCTGTTAGCCCTACAATAAAATGTAATCTTTTTTTTTCTGTTCTAGGCTTTATCTTTCAAGAAGTGAATTGGATAATCCCCACAAACCAAAAGCATGGAAAATTTACCGTCCAGAGTTCGCAGTCGAGGTATATTTTGATGACGTTAAGTTGTAGCTGGTATCTAAGTGTAGTTCCCCTTCTAGGCTAGAATCATGTTCTTCCCAATCCTTGCTACCTATTTATATCTTTTAAACCTATTTCCTTGCTGATATATTTACATATATATACATATGTCCTTGAGAACTCTATTAAATATATACAAAAGAGAATGTCAATGGCAATCGTTTTTTTTTTGAAAGAACATATGTCACAGTTTTCATTTGTATTGAGATAAATTTGAAACAGTGCACGGGAACGTTAGTTATCACTTAACAACTCAGAAATAAAACTCTATCAAAATAACATTTAAAAATTGTGATTGTCCCCCAATACTGTGGGTTTATTTACTTATGTATTTTTGGACAAGTATTCGTTCCCTACTTTGGTTTACATTTGTAATTTCAGATTTGTTAGGAAAGTAATTTCTGATCCCTTCTTCTACTTAATTTACAAACTAGTAACGAGCATCAGAATGGCAGCCAAGATCGTTTTAAAACCCATCACCCCTGCTCACAACCAGCTTCACCTAAGCTTGGGGAACTCTGAAGTAAGGTCAAGTTTTCATTATAGACACTGGTTAGTCAGTCCTGTGTCCACAGGGAATCATTTTCTCTTTGGTACCAGGTGCTACTTTATTCTAAGTACTTTCACAGCCACTATCTTAAGGCCGTAATTGTCTTTGAAAACAGTTCTATGTTGGCTTTACTATTTGAGTGATTTTCCTTTTATTGGCAAGGCTCTCAACAATCCAGCCCAAGTTGAACTGACCAGGAAATGAAAAGTAGCAAATGCTGAGAACCAGTGCCTCTGCTAAAACACGGACTGCTCGTTCCTGAAAAACCTTGCACTTTGCAGAAAGCACACGATAAAAAAATAGGGTTTGGGGGGTTGGGACAGACCATTCCAACTAAGCAGTGTTGTAACAGTGCACTAACCACTGGCCACTTGGGTTGGCAGCCCCACGAGGTCTGGAGGTTGCCACAGTCAGTATTTTTTAAGGGAAACTAGAGCAACAGTTTATAGAGAAGGGTGGGTGGGTGCCGACCTAGCAGGGTTGGGAGGAGAGCCCCGAGCCGCCAGCGTGGTGGCGTGGAAGGCCATGCAGGGGCTTCTCTCCCCCTCAAAATAGCCCCCAAAGAGCGCAGCTGCAAAGGTTATTCTACTCCCCTTAATCTGACTCCCCTTGGGGGAAGAGCTCTTGGAGACACAGCCTTTCAAACTCCTTCCATGGTATGACTACATTATTCCCTGTAATTTGGGTTACAGAAATGTATTGTGGCAGCCCAGGTTCCTCCTTTAAAATTCCTGCAGCTGTAATCCGTGGAGGGCAGATCAGCGGGCAGGCCTAGGTGAATGGGAAAAAAAGCGAGGAGTAAGATCTACCTTTAACACTGGCAAAAGCTGGGAAACCCCAGTTTTTCAGAATCTTGCTTTTTGAAATAAAGAAAATTACAGTTGGGGGTTTCTCTTCCGTAGCCCTCCAAAATGGATGGAAATTTCTGGCAATTATGAGCTGTCACACTACTCTGCTTTTGCTCATAAAGAGAACTTGTTCAGGGCCTCCAGCAGGGCTGCTTTCCTAGAACCCCGTGCAAATAATTCGTTAAACAACTTGAGAAACTTAGATCATAATATATCAGAACGATATTGGTTTTCTTGAATAGAATTTACTGACCTGGAAAACTTGATATCCAGAAGTTTATTTTAAAAAATAGAATGGCATCCTGCCAAATCAGTCACATCACATACACAGCCTGGTGGAGGGAGAGTAATGCTAGTGGGCCACGTTTCGCAACTGCAGTGTATACAGAATATGCATTTATATCAGTAGTTATTGTACATCAGGAATCTTGCTGACAAAAAAAAACAATGCTCGTTGCAATAAAACCATCACCTCGAAATATCACCATACATAACTCAAACATTCCTGACAGTTGGTTCTTAGCACATAAAGTACTTAAATCATATCGTCAACTATTAGGCAAATTTAATGATAGAACACGAGAATTTCTCTAAACACAGTATTTCAAGTTACTCTATTTTTGTCTGGAGTACAGATTTGAAATGGTACAAACTGTACTCAAATACTAAACCATGAATTAAGCAAACAGAATGAAACGTTAAAAAAAAACCTCAAGTTTCCATTCATTACTCCCACTCACTCTTACCTGCCTCAGACAGTTTCTGTTGAAGATATTCAGTTAAATCTTTACAGGACAACACGTGAGAAGACCTACTGCCAACAGGGCTTAGACAACAGGGGCCCGGTGGGCTCTGGAGCAGGTCACTTCCTGGGGGAAGCCAGTCCCATTTGCTATTTTTGCTTCAATCCAGGCCTGTTCAGAAGAAGCACCACTCAGTAGCTACTGACCATTTAAGTACGGACAAAAGTAAGGTAGAAAAATTGCTTTTCAAAAAAAGGCAAACAGAAGACCAGGCATAGCTCTGGAGCCCGTCGGGCACAACACCGGGCATCCCCCCTCCGCTAAACGTCTGCCAGCAGCTGGCCTTCCCGACCCTCTCTGGCTTCTGGCCGGAGTCACCACCGAGGCTGCAGGGAGAACAAAAACTTATGGAAACTGGAGGCCTCACACACAACGCTTCCGTCCTGCCAACAAGGGGGGACATACCAGTGTGGACCATTATTAACACGTCAGCCGCAGGGGCGGATTAAGAGCTCTTTATTAGAGGCCTGGGGGGTCTCGGGGCAGCACAGAATGAGGCGGCTGACTTCACTGGTGACGACAAGGGCTCACGTAAACCGGACGGCCAGGGAACAGCTGCCCATCCCAAGTCTACGGGAGTCAGGTGAACCAGGGTTTGTTAGTAGTGCATACCTACGGCATAGTTTAATGAAATTACCTTTGCTTCATTGATTAAGTCACACCCCAGAGACCACCATCACTGAAATTCACGACAGCCAGTACCCCATATTAAAGGCTCCAGCGTGGCAAGGAGTGAGGGATCCCGAGACAAACTTCAGCCCTGACACCACTCACGGGGAGTGCAAGCACGACACTCTGGTTCCCTCTGAAAGGAGACCGCTTTGCCCACAAGCACCACTCTGTCCCCAGACGGGGAGCCAGGGCCTCTCGTGGCTTTGGCACTCTGCTCCCTGGAAGGGCTTCCGATTGGCAGAGGCAAGGAGGGCGTGGTCCAAAGTGGATCAGCAGCCCGTAGGTGGTCCGACAACTTCCCTGGAATCCCGCCCAGGCCCGGACACAGAGGCAGCAGCTCAGGGCAGCTGTCAGCCACAGTCTTCACAAAGCACCACAGGCCCCTCCCCTCAGCCCCTGCCTCGAGCTCGAGCCCAGCAGAGAGGAGCTCCCTGGGACAGGAGGAGGGGCTGGCACAGGCGAGGGCCGTGCTGCTTCCCAAAGGCTCTGGGCCACACCCAACAATATGTCCGGGCGTGGAATGGGATCCCACCTGGAAGAAGATGGGTGGCACTGTTTCCACAGAGGAGCACCTTGGGAAAATCCAGGATGCTTACTCTGAAACTTAAATCAAGAACATGGAAGCCACACCACTATGCAGATATATTCTCCTCTTTAGAATCTAGACGGACGCCTTAGTTTTCAAACACCACAGGAAAACTTTTTAAAAACTTTAACCACTTATTACAGGGTATGTGCTAAGTAGATTTTAAAAGAGACCCACATCTAGCATGGATGAAGCATTTATAACCATCCTCCTGAAACATGGTTACCTCTGGTTTTTTCTAGTGAGATCTGAGATTAAACATGGAACTAAATTGTGCTTCACTCACAACACAACCACCTAAACCGCATGTACACATACAGGTTTACGCAGAAGCCCTTAAGATAGCTCTACTTAGCCTTTCAGATTAGGTACCTCGGGCCAGCAGCCCACCCTGTATGTCCCACCAAGGACAAGAGCAGCAACTTTTCCACTTCACTACAATTATGGGCAGAAATTATATAATAGAAAAGAGAAGCTCTTCTATAAAGTTTAAGGTAGAAGGTAGAAAAATGGAAGACAAAACAAAATTTCCCACAAAATCAAAAAATTCCACATTGGTCTTGTACTCCTTGAAACCCTGAGAACTGCAGTCCTCAAACAGCTTCACTTTGATCAAGGTTTGCCAGAACACTTCAGTATGCTTCAAACTGGCTCATCATCAACTTCCTGCTGTATTCATAGGCCAAAAAGAGTGCCCCGTTGGCAGGGAACGCGCGAATCATGGTAGGTTTCAGTCCAGAATATAAGGCCGTTATTCCTAGAAAACAAAAGGGTGACCAAAGACTGAGCTCCCCCTCCTTGGACATATCGCACGAACCCACACAGCACAGATATTTTTACAGTTACAGATCCAGACAACAGTGCTGAACCCCAGCAGCGATGGAACAGGTTTCCCTGGACTACTGGAACTAGACAGACTAGTAGAAACAAGGGCGAGGGCAGGTCTGCCAGCAGAGCTGGTGAGGCTCCGGGTACAGTCACCGATCCCGTGCCTGTTACCTCCTGGTAAGCGGGTCAGGCAGAGCAGGGGGCCTCCTGTGGGCAGACAGGAGGCAGCCACAGAGCCACGGACGGCAGCAACTTCGCAGCTTCACCTGGGGGGCGAGGACCACGAGGCACTGGGCCAGAACACAGAGCACTGACATTGATGTGGAAGACCTGTTTCTAGTGTTAGCACTGCCCAAGGCAGTTCTGAAGATCCAGGCAGATAAGGGAGGTGTAAGTACTTTGGAAAACTACAAAGTGTAATGCAAATTTAAAAGGGGTTACTGTTAGTAATACACAAGATGTCTGTGCTCTATTTGGGGTTAAAGCAGTTGCTGCATGCTGTTACTGTGCTCGCTTTCTCTCAAAATCAAGACAGAAAAGTGCACATCCAAGTTTTAAGACGTATAGTGGATGCTGGAAAGACAGGTCTTTACTCACTAGTGGCATAAAATTGGCTTTATACAAACACTAAAAGTCTTTATCTACCTGTATAACTAAAAACTGATAACAAATCACCTTCAGAAATTGCTTAGTGCCTTTCTCATTGCAGAAGTCTTATCATTAAGGATGTACGTTCTTTTAAATGCCTTACTGATATGCTGTTAGAGCTCATCTCCTGATGATATTGTTTAAAACAAGTGGTGCAGGACTTCCTTGGTGGTCCAG